TTGTGTGTTGGCTAGCATAGTGCGAAAAACGGGACTATGTGACGCTGATCACGGCGGCTCTTTATATATTTTTTGCAGTTGACTTTTTGCTGCAAGCACTAACGAAGATTCTAACCGAATGTTCGCGTTAGCTGACTTGCAATACATGCATGCATGCTCGCTGTTATTTATTTGGGCTGGCAAGACAGGCTATTATAAACTATATGCAACCTCTGCTGCATGCCAGGTACACACGCTGTATTATTCCTCCTGTAGATTTGATTTCTGTCAATTTGGCCATGGCCTATGGCAGACTTTTGGTTGAATTCTAGAACCAAGAAGCATGTTGGGCGCTAACTCAAATTACCATCAGACAACCACACCGATCCAGGTCCGTGCTGGCAGCCCCACTATCGCATCTACTTGTCAGACACGGAAATTGAGTCGGTGCCATCCGTTGCCAACAGTGCCGAACCCAGCGTAATCACCAAGGTGGATGACAAGCGTGCAAAGAGCACTGCGATCAAGGCAGCCCGCCCGCGGTCGATGCCAATATGACGGATCTCAAGTTTGTCGATGAAGATGCTATCGACTATGTACAGGTGCACACAGGTTTTCTGAACAAGAAGCCAATTGCCATGGAGGAGATCAATGAGTTTGTGGCCGGCATCGACCTAAACAAAATATTGCTGATTCTCGAGTGTGGCAGCGTTATCTTCGGATACATGCGCGAGGTGTCATGGCCGATGCGCTTCCTAGACAAAATCAACTGGTTGCGGGCGCATACTTTTTGCGCGGGCCACCTTGAGTCCGAGTTTCTGCCACCGGTGCAGACCCTCGTCGACTTGGTGGCATACCCGCAGTGGAATCAGGCAATCTTTGATAAGCACAGGGCACAGGCGTATTTGCATGCGTCGCTGCTCGTGCCTTTGGTACTGACAGCCATGTTTTTTTAAGCTTTTCATTTCTTTATTCTCTTTCATCTGCAATTTTCCCATAGCTATTTCGAATTTTTGATATTAAAGTAACTCAGACATACACCACAATCCACATATAAATCTCTCAAGGTATCAATGCACGTATAATAAAGCGTGTTGCTGGTGTAATCGGTTGCTTCATTTGCCCAATTTCGTTTTCTGGTGGATTATCCTCCACTACTATATCCGGATTTAAGTATATCTAATCTAATTTAATAGCCATTTTATATTTACTTTGGTTATCACAATGCGGGGCATGGTTACTTGTGCATTGCTGATGGCCATGATAAAGAGAGACAGCACTGATGGGGCTTCGAGAGATAAAGTTGTTAATGGTAGGTAGAGGCAGTAAAGTTACCTGGGCATCAACAAATGGCTTGATATGTCCCTATAATTGTTGTCCCATGGATGGCCGCGGTAGCCGTATTGAAAATTGTGGATATTGTCTACTTGTAGAGTATGCAGGTTTCTGTTACAGCACTTGTCACCTACGACCATTGCTCAGAGACTTTGGATTACGTCTCGAGGTATCCATGGTAAGCGTAGGTGTTGACATTCGGGCAACGCCATACCTTCGCCACCATGTGTAGATCCAAATCCCCACCTGTATAAACTTTGTGGGCCGGAACGGCTCCATCCTCCCTTTTTTCTCCTCAGCAAAATTTCAGTCATATTCATTCCGTAAAGCTCATAACTACCGTACTCTCTGAAGGTTAACAGTAGGGAGTGAAATTGAGCTGAGTAGCCACTGCTTTTATCAGGAGTGCTAATATGTGAAGTCTGTGGGAAGCTGTTGTTAGAGACTGTGACGTATGAGAACACCAGTGCGGGCTAGGACGCAAGTTTTCACTGTGCTGACATTGCTGTAAATAATTTGCATGATAATAGCAGGTCAACACGTCTGATTGATCGCCATACTGTGGGAAAGCGATCCCAGATCAGAATATATTGTTAGCTGACCAGCCTTTGCGGTGCTGGTAGTAACAAATGAAACTATTAAACTGCATTTGCTATCTGAGGGAAAAAAGACACTCCAGTCTACCTGGCATGACCTGCGATGGCTTAGTGGAGTGATGGGCGATTGAAGCGATTGGAATCAATGGAGGCGGGCCATTCGTATAATTTTCATTTCTCTAAATAACAAATTGTTCTCCAAAGCTTGCACAATAGCAGGCTATAAAAAAGCCGGACACTCTGTTGCTCTCTTCTCTGCTCGTATCTCACCATTTTACTACTTTTGTATTCCCATTGAGCCCGAAACTGTGTGAACTATGCCTGACGCAGAAGACAGCGGGCAGAAGACTTCGACCTCGCTCACCAGCCAGCCAGTACTTATCAAGGACCCAAAATCGCGGGACAGCGCACAAAGCAAATCCCACAGCCTAGCCTTCAATACCCAATACCACCCTCCGCCGCCATCAGGCTACACCTGCAAAATCTGCAATATCGGCGGTCACTGGATTCAGAGCTGCCCAGACAGACATCGTAAGGCACAGTCCAAGAAGTTTGATAAACAAGACTGCTGGTTCTGTTTGCCCCGTTCCCAGGCCGACCAGAACTTGGTTGTTGCTATCGCTGAAAAGACATACCTTGCATTGGCCAAGGGCCCGCTGGTCATCGGCCCAGAAAGCGTACCAAATGGCGAGCCGGTTGCGTGGGAGCAAGGGCAGGTTAGTCCGATTCCTGGCGGCGGCCATGTCATGATATTGCCTATAAAGCATACGCCCAGCATGCGCGCCATCTTATCCATCGATAAGCAGACCGTGATGAAGGACGAAATCAAGAAGTGGACGCAGTCGCTGACTGATTTGTATGCCGACTATGGCTGCGTGCCGCTAATTTACGAGGTCTACCGCTATTTACCACGCCAGCATGCTGCGATGCATTTTATTCCTTTGCCCAAATCCAAGGTCGACAAGGTCTGGTCGTCTCTGGTGGCTATGGCCCGCGAGAGCCATCTGCATATCCAGAGCCACTACCCGCGCAGCAACAGGTCAGGCTATGTGTGGGTAAACACGCCTACTCTCGATGATAACTATGCATGCCTTGAAATTCCTACTTGGGATAGCCACTTCAGTTTGCAGTTCGGACGGCAGCTGGCTGCCCGCATCCTTGGGATTCATGGCAGATATGACTGGAGGGCATGCACTGTTCCCAGCGACCAGGAGGCTCGCCAGCAGGATCATTTAAAGAGGTATTTGCAAAGTACGACCCTGTAAGCAAGAACTGTTAGTAGCATTGTCACTTCATTTACCGCAAAATTTTACTCTCTATTGATCTTTTCAAACTTATGTCCTAGCAAGCCATTTCGTACGAACTGAAAATAGTTTCAAGGAAAAGCACAGTTGCGTAATGCTAGTGTGCACTTTTACTCCTGCAAATCAGGCCTGAAGATGAACTTGTACAACAAAAGCGTGTTGTAGGTCCAAAGCACACGGCGGGTGGTGTAGGGCAAAAAAAATAAATAATAAGAAACGAATAGCGAAAGATACCTTATATATGATTATGTGTGTAACTTTCGTGTAGCACAGATTCCGAATAAGCTGTCAAGCGATGGTATCTTAATCCAGAAATATGCGAACGTTGTGAGCGTATCAGCAATAGAAAGTGGCAGAGTCAAGGAATATATATATATATATTGATGAAGAAAGCTAAAGAGAAGTAGGAAGGGAGAGGCGAGCGAAAAGGTTTTATACCATCGCTCAGGTGGCACAGACAAAAAGAAGAAGAAAGAAAAGAACAACAGGATGAAAAACTATGTAGTTCACAGTAATCGGATCTTGAAATTCTAACAGATAATGCACTCATCCTCGTCATCATCCTCGTCCTCGTCCTCGTCATCGTCATCATCATCGTCATCATCCTCACTATCACCCTTGTACTTTGACTTGCCATTGTCATTAGCCACATGTTTGGAATGACTGTGCTGTTTGCCTTTCCTGCTCTTAGAGCGTGTCTTCTTTGCATCTCCCAACCCAGCGGATCCATTTTTTGCCACGGATCCCTTGCCATGGGCTGCTGATCTGCCATTGCAGCCACAGGTGCTCTGCTGCTGGTTATCCGCGGCGTTGTTTGCGTTCGGCGTGTTCGACATGGCTGAGGTTTCTAGAAAAAGGAGGTAGCTTTGTGTAAATTTCAAGATCTAGCGGCGTCTCGAAGAAAATGCAACAGACATGTACAGCATAAAGTGGTGTGGTAGGAGCCTGCTAGGAAACCGAAGCGTTTTGTAGTTGCGAGAGAAGAGAAAGGGAGGCAAAAACATTTTAAAAGTAGGCTTCTATTTTTGGCACGCTGGGACATGCCCTGTAACACCCGCGGTAACAGCCTCAGCATTAGTCAGGAAAGAAAAATCAAGCGCCAAATTGCGGAGGTTGCGGCCTTGCATCGGCTCCTGACGATTGCCAGAGTCACCTTATTTGCAGACATCAACTTTTGCAGCCTGCTGCAAGCTATATGCGCTTCTTGATTGTTACACACGATGCCATGGCTATGCACAGCCATTCAAGCAAGGCCCTCTGAGACAGCTGGCTACAGATCCCCAGCACTCAGCTCTCGTTCAACCCGGACAGTGAGGACAAGCCTGACAATAAGCTTGCTTTCATCCCGCTTCGCCCTACCTCTTATTCTCCCGATGTCACCCGCCTTAGCTTCTGCATTAGTGGCCCTGCTTGTTCACCACTGCGCTTCAAATTAGAAGTTCATAGTCACACCTGTTGACCATGGATATGAATGGTTATCGGGCATGTATGGAAAGCTAGCAGTCTGTCTGAGACTTTATACATGTGCGTCTCCGCCATGCCCATGGTAGCGCAGGGGGACTCCAGACCCCGAATGCCAGCAGCACCAGCACTCAAGTCCAGTGTGTTGACATTCGGGCAACGCCATGCCCTTCGCCACCATGTGCAGATCCAAATCCCTACCTGTATAAACATTGTGGGCCAGAACGGCCCCATCCCCCTTTTTCTCCTCAGCAAAACTTCCAGTTATGTTCATTCCATAAAGCTCATAACTACTGGACTCTCTGAAGGTTAACGACTTGTTCTCTTGTTTAGCTTGCTTTCTCGTGTAACTACGATCAAGCTACCAACCGCGGACTTCTCGCATGAATATAATACAGCACTGAACTAGGCGACGCTAAACGGGAAGTTCTCTGGAAAGGGCACGTCTATGGCACTGGAGAGATTGAAGGAGGACATGAACGGTATGTTTGAAGGGCTATGTGTCGTGGATGACAGGGACAAGTTTGGACTCGCCAATGAAATGATGCCAGCCGAGCTACTTGACGCTTGATCATCATACAGAACGAGGTGCAGTGCAGGGACCACAGCGGGAGAATTGAAATTGCAGAACTCGTTCTCTGCGCTCCAAGAGTACCTGGAATCGCGCTATGAAGTTTCGGTCGACATAGTGGTTCCACTGCAGGCGGGCATCAAGAATGATGCTCTGCTAGCAAACAATTACATCCTATACTTGCCGATTGTTATGCGAACACCAACCATGTGCAGCTCAGACAAGACGCTTGTCAGTCTTAAAGCGGCAGTACTGCGCGAATTGCAGTTCACATGCCAGTCCAATAACAACAACGGTAGTCATACAACAGCACTGAACGCCGAGGCACCAAAGAGATCCACACGATCGCTTATATAGTCACTTAGCAGCTCGGAGTATCAGAATTAGATTTTCCTCATTTCATTGTTCTATCTTCTCTTTATATTTTGCTACCCAGTCCAATACTGGACCGGATCCTTCTTGTCTTTCTTCTATATTTTTCCACTTGCTTAGTGCCTTTCTGCACTCTCTCACACTTTCCGAATATATATCTATCTTCGGGTGTTTCAGCCCGCTCTACAATTTTACTTGTATCGCTTGTAACCTTCTGACACGGAGAACACGTGCCGAGTAAACTAATTGTGACCTAGATCAAATATATATCATTTAGTCTATGAACCGTCAGCAGCTGCCGCCATTGTCTCAATAACGAATGAGTTGTTGTCCTGTATATTGTCGTACCCAGGAGGGAGGTCGTCATCTGCAAACCCAGTTCCACCAATGTTGAGTCTATCTGGCCGCAGGTTGTTGTCTTCCGAAAACGGGTTCAGGTCACGCTGGTGCTTGTGCTCCTTCCACTTTTTATACCACAGCAGCACAAGAACTGCAATGAGAAGTGTCGCAAGCGGAGTAGCAGCACCTACAGCAATGGCTGTCGATTTTTGGAAGCCCAGGCTTCTTATCCGACACTGGGGGTGTTGGACTTGAAGAGTCAGTTTCTACCAATATAATACCAGAACCTTCCTCAGCTGAATCAGATGGTTCTGATTCTAATCCAGAGAATTCGCTGCCTTGGCGTATTTTAAACCCAATATTAAGCAAAGCATACAAAGACACAGGCCTGAGCTGCACGTAGCATATACGCACGTTTGTGTGTACATGCCACGATAAAGCATGTTCACTGGGCACTTCCAGGAAAGCCTTTGCGCCAGTGAAAACGCTCTAGGATGGCCGTACGTGTCAATCTTGCTGATGACTACTTTGGTCTGCGACCAGATCCGTATCCCATCATCGTCCAAGCGGTCCATAAATAGGTTTCTACCAAACTGTGGAAGGCAGCCATAAGAAATGAATCTGGCAGGGTGTTTTGTTGGATATCAGCTGCAAACATGTACGGTATATCAGCCTTAACATATGCTTCAGAATGCATCTTGAATACCGCCGAACATGTCGGTTTTACAGTTGTCTCGTGACACAATTCGAGTTCATGGTTGGTATAGATAAACCGGAGCAGAAGCACGGAAAAGATCTCTAGCAGGGCAGATCCATTTGAAGATTGATAAATAATGTTGTAGACAGGTTGCCCACAGCACGCGCCAAACAATTACTCAGCACAAACATTCGCTATATTGAGGTTTCGTTCATTTGAAGTTGCCTGTTGCCAGGCTGCCGGGCTGATCTTGTACCCGCATATCACGCATGGAAATCCAGAATAACGATCTATGGATCAGGCAGGTGCCGCTATCAATATGCTGTTGCTGTGTCAGTAATTGAAATACGCTCTGGAAAACAAGTGGTATGCATGATACAGAACACTGACAAGGCTACTGTTGAGATGGCAAACCAAGTACAGAGTTCCACTGCGTTGTCTCTGGAATAGTCTACTAGCACAAATAGTGGATTGAGCTTTTTGTCAATACCAGCCTCCAATGCCCTATGTCAGTAAATAAGGGTGCAATTACTCTGAGGTCCTGACCAGGACTCATCCCCTTCCAAACAACTACGCCTCACTCAGATGGTAGAGTGAAAAGTTACAGTGCCAGTGAAGCCGCTCTTACAGCCCACTGGTTTGAATGACCAGACCCCGCCTCTGACCACTGCCACATGAGCCATCGGCCATGCATGTTTTTCTACTACTGTCCTGTCCAGAATGTTCTTTTTCCCATCATGAAAGAACATCAATGGCGACGGGACCTGCACCAGGGCGGGAAAACAGTGCATGCTCGGCATTTTCCCCGTGTCAGGAAACCAGCAAATGATAGCGTCACAGGTACTTACGGTAAGGTACTCGCCTGCTCCCAATCCAGACCGTGCGCACTAGCCGGGGTGTGCGACAATTACACAGTGCAAATCATCTGCGTCACCTGGGCTGGCGGCTTGGGTTCTGCACGTCATTCGCTGCGTTCGGAATTTTTTTTGACAGAAATCTATTCTCGAAGCGTGTACCTTGCCAGTGATTGCGGCCTGTAGCCAACTGCAATGCGCTGTCCACTCGCCTATTTGGGGCGAGTGCAGCTTCTTTGCTTTCTGCTTGCTATATGCAGCTGGTCGCATCTGGCTTGGCTGCGCGTCCATTGGCCAGCAGTGTCGCTAGCATGCTCTTCGTCCCTCAACATTCGCCTTTCAGACAGGTCGCACACTATTCTGCAATGCGCTACGCGATTGGCATGGCAGGCCAGAAAGCTCTGGTATTCTTTGCACTGCAGTACTGGGAAGGTACACAGGTTGGCCTGCTGAATGGGGGGGGGGAGCGGGTTATTGCCAGCCCTGAGCAATAACAGGACATCGTATAAAAGACGTGCACCCCACCACTGGTGGGGTCCTCATTCAAACATCGCTTGGCATTTTCTCCGCTAGTTTCTACTCTTTTCTGCGAGCCAAATAATAGGCCGCTCCCTCATACAAAAAGTGCTTGGTAGAGCCTGTCCCCTAAAACACCCGTTGCAAAGCTACTATCCCCTCAGAAACACATCATCAGAGCCGTCATTATGCTCTTCAGAAAGAATATCAGCCCGCTCCTGGCACTCGCCGCCATCAGCCTGGTATCCCTGCATACTGCTGCCGCAGCCACCGCTGGACCGCGCCAGCTTTTGCTTCGCCATTCTGTTGGTGACCACGACCACGACCACGACCACGACCACGACCACGACCATCACGAAGAGACCGACTGCTATGCGTCAGGCGTTGACGACTGGAACTCTGGCATGCACATTGCTGCCATTTTCATCATCCTTGCCGCCGGCGGCCTAGGCTCGATGCTGCCCGTCATCAGCCACTACATGCCTGGCCTGCGCGTCTCACCGAGCATCCTGACCATGGGCAAGTTCCTGGGAACTGGCGTCATCATTTCGACCGCGCTCATCCACATGCTGCCGGCCGGTTCGGACAGCCTCGGTAACCCGTGCGTCGGCAGCCGCATGGGCAACTACAGCGGCTGGCCGGGCGTGCTGGTGATCATGGCCATCTTTGCTATGCATCTGATGGAGTTCCTGCTATCCAACCACGCGATGGAGGGTCACTCACACAGCCACGGGCTTCCGGACGATCTTGCCAACTCTGCAGAGCCCGAGACAATGAACCTTGAGTCGCAGACCTTGGCGCAACAGCACCGCGACTACAACGACAGCTCCAACGCTACTACCATCAGCGACGCTGATCGGAAGCCTGACGCTGTGCTGCCAGTACGCAACTCCATTGGTTTTGACGCTGTGGATAACAGCGCTAACTGCGATGCAGTAGCCGTCCACACGCACCACAATCACGTCCATGGCCTGTCATTTATCCAAGATAGCGACTCCATCAAGGCACGCAAACTTCGCATTTCCACCTACATCCTCGAGCTCGGTATTTGCCTGCACTCGGTCATCATTGGCGTCACTCTGTCGGTGGCAGTGGGAGCTGAGTTTAAGACCCTACTTATTGCCATTGCGTTCCACCAGTTCTGCGAAGGTCTGGCGCTGGGTAGTCGTCTGGCACAGATAAAATACGCTCGCCACTCGTTCATCCGCGCCTTTATCAGCGCTGCCATGTTCATGCTCATTACTCCCATTGGCATGTGCATCGGTATCGGTGTCCGCTACTCGTACGCGCCCAACTCGCCTTCGTCGCTGATCACCATGGGTGTGCTCGACTGCCTCTCGGCAGGCATCCTGATCTACAGCGGTCTGGTCAATCTGCTTGCTGAAGAGTTTGGCACCCTCGAGTTCCGCAGCTACAAGCGGGGCATGAAGGCTGCCTGCTTCATTGCCATGTTTGTGGGCGCGGCCATCATGGCAGTCATTGGCAAGTGGGCCTAAACACGCGGCTGGGCTAGCAGTGTCCCTTGAATATAATTATTCCATTCTATTGCTCTTTAACAATTTTAATAATCCAAACATATCATTGCCAGATGTGCAAAGATCCGTCGATGTACGCTTGAGACATGCGGTTTAGCCATTGCATGCTTGTGATCACGTGCAATAATATCATATTTAATCACTGAGTGGTGATCAGAGCAGTATTAGCTCCTGTTCGCGTTTCTGGCATTTTTCGCGTTGCAGTCGCGTAGAGCGCTCTTTTCAGGAACTACACTTTACTTTTACGCTTTCTAATTAGCAGCACCCTTCACAATGGAGAACGGAGCCTCAGCAGCAGAGCAGAGCGTAGCGGCACTTATGGATGTTGCGGATGAGACGCAGCCCGAAACCACGGACTCTGGCGATGCACTGGGACTAGGTACCTCGACGCTAGGGGCAGCGATCCAGAGCACAAACCAGAGGCTGTTTGACCCGCTAGCACAGATGATGGACTCGGACGCAGATTCAGAAAGCGATGATGAGCCGCTGCCGAAGCCTGCGGCTCTACCCAGTGCTCCAGAGAGCAGGTTGCACCTGGAGTCCTCGCTGCTGGGCACTGCAGCCAAGGCACCGGAGCGATCGTCCAGCAATCTGCAGCAGCATGTCGAAGACGAGTCTCAGGAACTGGGCGCCACTATGAAGCCAGCACCGGTTGTGCCTAAGCTGGAGTTTAAGCAGACGGACTTTGCGCTCCGCAAGCAGAGTATCGTTGCGCGGCTAACGGCCAAGGGTGCAATTTCATCGCGGCGTGCCGTGTCTGACGACTCGGACGGGAGCTCAAGCGACAGTGACGAGGAGCTGAGTGCAAATGCCAGAGTGGAGATGGACGACTCAGAGTCCGAGCCTGAGCTAGGCGAGGCCAAAAAGAAGCAGAAGGGGCCTAAGAAGCCCAAAGCAGGTTCAATTGATAGCTCCCCGCCGAAACAGCGGGCAGCATCCAAGGCAGCGATATTAAAAATGCACCAGGAGACCGAGCGCCTAGTTCGCGAAACCCAGGTGCACATCGACCCGACAGAGTTCACCAAGCGCCTGCAGCTCTCAGATTTTTTCACCCGCTTCGACTCTGAAAAGGCGGACGCGGCTTCACGCAAGCAGCGCAAACAAGACGCATTGGAGAGCAAACAGAGGTTGCGGTTCTCGGCCGACTCGGATGATGAAGTCGAGATCGAGATCGTGGGACCCAAGCAGCAGATACTAGCACATGGCGCACGCAGCTCGCGCCTGTTTGCCTGCGCGCAGAAGAAAAAGGAGGAGGAAAAGAAGGAGCAGGACAGGCTGGCGACTATTTTGCGGTACGGGTCGCAGCCCATGCATGTGTCGGGGGCATTGCCTGCGGCCAAGAAGGCCGACGGGCCGCTTGCACTGCGGTCACTGAATAGCGCTCTGCTCGAGGCTGTGCATAAACAAGACATGGGGCGTAAGCGCAAGGACAAGAGGCATGGCGAGGACAGCTCGCAGGTCATTGAAGATGATGAGGATGAAGATATGGCGATGGAGGACAATGGTGTGGAAATCGGCGACGAAGATGTGGCAATGGGGGAGGACGGTGGGTCTGATGCTGACGAGCCGCAGCCGAGAACTGGCTCGCGCAAAGTGGTTATATCTGACGACGAGGATGATGCGGTTGAGGAAAGCAAGCCCGTTGGCGTTTCCAAGCCCAAACCTGCGGAATACCCCCAGAGCAAGGCCAGGTTCCTAGGAATGTTCAAGATGCCAGCAAAGAAGCCAGCAGCGCCTCCAGCGGCCAAGCCTGAGGAGGCGCGTGTCGAGAGTTCGCCAACATCCGATGACCCGCAGGTTCTGCCATCGCAGGATCTGTCATATATTTTCTCCGGAGACCA